CATTGATAGGTGCATTATCTGCAGAAAGCAGCCTATGTCATAGAAATAAGTTTCTCTTCAGGCGATTGGGATAGCCCAAGTTATCCACCAGTTACACTGTATTGAGAAAAACAAAAAACAACAACAACAACAAAAAAAAAAGCAGGCAAGCTACAGTACATGGAATAACATAAGTAATCTAATGCAATTACAGGGAGCTAATTCGTTTTTAAAAGTTAGCCAGTTTACAAAAGAACTCATAAAACGCTTTGTGTTTACTATTGGTGTACGGCTGACTTTCTACTAAGCTGCTATCTGGCAACATAGCTTTAGCGGAGAATTTTTTTTATAGTGCTTTTCTAAAAGATCGCGGATATCAATGCTACTTGAGATTCATGTACCGACGCTTCTTGAAGTACCTCTGCCCAAAAAACACTACTGAGTTCGTTGTTAGTTTAACTTCAGCGGCTCCATATACAGCAAGCCCCTCTCTTCTAATAAGCGTCCTGAGAACATAAAGAGACTTGTTTCCTTTTCTGAGTTTGTTCTTTACGTACATGAATGTTCCATCTGGTGTCAGACTGAAAAGTAACACCTAGCAAAACAAGTTTCTTAAACTGAGGTATTCTTACCAGCTATACTCTATCAAAGATTAATGCTTTACATTTACTAGGACTACACGCCACACAGTTTTCTAGACTCTAAGAACTGAATTACCAGGTGCAATTATGGTGGATAACGCCGCATATCTACATGCAAACAAATTGTAGAGCCATTTCTTTTGTATCTCGAGGTCGTTTAGAAGGATATTAAATAAGTAGGGGTTCCTTCGAATGCCGTGAAAACTGTGTATTGTTGACCTCTCTATGAAGCCTATGTTTTAAACAACTTGGAATCTAGATAGAGATTGATAAGATAGGGGTTCAGCGGAAGTTCTTATACTTTTTCAGATAGTAAGGAGTGTTTGACAGCGTCAAAGGCCTTTTAATAAAATCCATAGTAAAGAGTCGCACCGCTTTGCACAGTCAAGTTGAGCTACAGTTGTATACAGTGTGCTGAATAGCTATCAAAGCGTCTGTACAATTTTCTCCGTCCCTATATGCGAACAGGCTAGTTCACCTGAGCATTTTTTGCGATCACTTGGGCGATCGATGAGAATGTGGATTCCACGCTTAAATTTCTCACTTACCTGTTTCGCAGACTTACAAAAAAAACAAGACGTAAATGCAAAAACGATATATTTTTATTTTATTTTATTTTTATTTTATTTTATTTTTATACTAGCCTTCCACACGCCCAGCTTAAAAAGCAACTTCATGATCTTTTGGAGAGAGTTTTTAATACTAAAGAAAAAAGCTTCATTGCCACCAATAATTTTCGCACCTTCTGGGCAAATGATAAGACGTCAACGAGGTACACGTACTTCTCCTGTCGAGAGCTTGGTCTCGCTATTGACTTTCTTATCGATAACATCTACGTTCGTTTTGGAAGCTCGGTTTTCCGGCAGGTTATTGGTATACCCATGGGCACCAACAGTGCACCTTTGTTGGCTGATCTCTTCCTTCATACCTTTGAGTACATTATTTATTTATTTAAGTTGAGTGTACATTTAGTTCGTTTAATAACGTCTTAGTTTTGCTTTGCGTTATTTTCCTCACTTATATGTGTTGTCCGCGACTGTGATCACACGGTGGGTGGCTCCTCCTAAAATGTTCTTCATTTGGTATAGGATTTAATGGAGCCGAAACCAATTGTGGAATTGCACGCATTTTAGGCATCCTACTGATAAACTGTTGGGATACGTAGATATATTTTTTTTTAGCAACTATTATAATTTGCAGTCTGTCTACTTTGAATTTTTTATTCAACCGTGTTTCAGCGACAGTTAACTAACAATAATAATAATAATAATTTATGAACTTATTGTGCGCAGCTTAACATGAGAATGATCAGCTGCGCATTACAACTACATTACTTAAAAGAAACAAATAAAAGATAATGCATTAAAAAAAAATAAAAAATAAAAAATAAAATAAATAGAGGATATTACATGGTGGCGCGAAGATATGAATTTTATTTTCGAGTGGCAAAAAGGCCATTTCGCTCTCTCCAGTCCTACCGAGCTTAGACTCGACTGACTGAAGAGAGACTGCTCGCCGTCTAGCAGAATGGTAAAAAGAGTAATGAATGCTTTTCACGCAAAAGTTTCAATTTGTATAATCCACACTGATACAAAAAGGCATTAGAACAAAAATGTAAGGAAGGCTTCACTTAATCTGCATAGAGTGATTTTCGTATGACCTTGAAAAATGGTTTTGGTAAGTGTTCGTTATTTGTTTTATCAGTCAATGGATGAAAAGATCAAAACATGGCCTCTTCGTTTTCCCGCCAGAAAACCCTAATATAAAGAAGGCATTGTTCGATTGGCCAATCGTGTTACAGAGTGGCGTCAAAGCGAAGTATCGATTGATTTCTAGAAAGTTCTCGAGCATGAAGGTTTTCAGCCGAGCGTTCGCTGGCA